GATAAGAACAGTTTAATACTTGAAATAACAACAACAACAACAACAACAACAGCAATAATAAATTACAATGGAAAGTAAAACAACGAGAGAGAGAGAGAGAGAGAGAGAGAAACAAAACCCAGAAAGGGAAAAAACAAAAAAAACCTCAGAAAAACAAAAAACCAAGAGGTGATGAAATTGCTTACCACCTGCTGATCGACGCCCAGTCAGTCTCTGAGCAGCGATCACTGCTCCCTGGCCAACTCCCCCCAGCTTATAAACTGAGCATGACATCACACGGTATGGAATATCCCTCTGGCCAATTTGGGCCAGCTATCCTGTCTATACTCCCTCCCAGCTCTTGTGCACCTCCTCGCTTGCAGAGTGTGGGAAGCTGAAAAGTCCTTGACTTAGTATAAACACTGCTTAGCAACAGCTAAAACATCAGTGTGTTATCACATTATTCTCATGCTAAATCCAAAACACAGCACTGTACCAGCTACTAGGAAGAAAATTAACTCTATCCCAGCTGAAACCAGGACATACATTTATATATTTCTCCTCACTATGTAATTTTTGTTGTTTTTTAAATCATGAAATATGCTAGTCTAGAAATGAAACAGGGCAAAACTTCTTCAGCCGACGCTCATGGATTACAAGCGAGCCACAGGGTATGTGCTGGTGCTCATCCAGGAGTGCAAGCTGAGCAGGTCATGCTTGCTCTGTTACTTTCAGCTGGTCAAACACACAAATATTGCCTCAATTTTATTTTGCTAGTAAGAAGTTGTTATGTTTGCCTTAGGAACTGGATATGAATGAAAATAACAGCGGCCTCATGCTCATGAGTGGGGTGGGATGCAGGGGGAGCAGTGGAGCTGGGCTTTTTGTGAGGTGATCCCCCCGTGAAAATGCCTGGACCCTGAGTCAGGGGCTGCTCTCTCCTGCACAGCAAAAGGGACGAGAATGGGTTTATCTTCTGTGCTGAGGCAGATCTGTGCAACTCTGTATTTTACACATACGGGCCAGCTCCTTCTTCCGGACTGGCAAGGACCACTCAGAAAGACACACGCACGTGAGTAGTCTGTACGTCTGATCCCGTACACTGCCGATTGCCAAAGCTGCTACAGAGCTGCAAAGCAGAGCAGCTTCACGAAACATCAGGAACAAGAAGGATGAAACATTACTCTTCATTATTTGCTGTATAGTAAACAGTACCATGAGATGTAATACAAATTATGCGTTAAGAAGATACATTAACATTAAGAAGAATATGCATATTAATTAAGAAGGAAAAGATGGAAAAAAGCTGGGGGTCGTGGCAACTTGCAGTAGCCCTTACACATTGTTAAAATCCATGGAGATACCATACAGCGTGAGGAGGCAGAGCTGCTTTGTGAAAGGGCTTGTGGAGTAGGGGTATAGTTGACAAACCTTTTACAAAAAAACGCAGCAATGTTTTGCCATTCATAGTAAAAGTATAAAAAAAAGGCATAAAAGTCAGTGAGATCATCTTGCAAGTTGTTAGAGCTTGAAGCATATGGTTTTCAGAGGCAAGTCCTAACAGGTACCTGGGTCTGATTTTCACCACAGGTGACTCGATGGATGCTGGGTGGGATTGCTCCTCACCTGCAGCTGTGCAGAAGCAGGCTGCAGCCCCTGCAGATAAATGGGCCGCTGGGGCAGTGGCTGTTCCCCTGTGTGCCTCCTCTTGTGTTTGCTCTGTGTGTTGTTTCCATATCCTGCAAGGAATGCCTCATCTCCAAGGTGTGCACATAATCCTGTGGAGGTAGTGTTTGGTGGCATAATGCCCTTTTTTTCATCTATCTGTCCATAACTGGCCTGGCTTACCTGTACCTGGGATGAGTGGTCTGGTTGCTTTAACCGACTTGCAGAAGTTTAAGGCTACGAGGGCTGATGTGTTTGTCCGTTCTGGCTTCCTGCGTGCTTTGAGGTAGAGAACCTTGTGTATTTCTTCATCAGTTTCTGCTGAGCTGCAGCATGCCTTGTAAGCCTGTCTGTTGTGATATTCCATTGCTGCCCTTTGCCAAAGGTTTTGACTTTATTTGTGTTGTTTGATGAGAGAGAATTTGCAGGGCTGTTTTCGGGGCAGAGTTCTTCATGCTTCTGACTGTGAGGCTTTGGGAGGATGCAATACAATGTGAAGGGTGCCTGGTTTCATTCCTGTCACTTTGCTTTGGGAAATTCTCTTTGTCTTGGTGTGTTGCAGAGGGGTTGTTCAGCAGCACCGAGCCAGGCTGCCTCCCTCTGGCAAGCAGGAGGGGGTATGTTGCATCTCCTCTACATTCTGCTTTGCTGCGTGCAGCTTTTTAACCAAGATGGGGAAGCCCCCAGCCACAGTGATCGCCCAGGGAAATGAGGGCTTTCAGGACTTCAGGGTCAAAGAGTTAGTTTGGTTTGTTAAAACTAAAAAACCCAAAAGAGAGCTTTATGGATAGAAATGATGACGTTGCCATGCATGTGATGCTAGGTTAAAGTGTTAGTGCTGGGTTCAGGTGTTTGGGTTTTATCCTGCAAGCACTTGCTGTAGCGTTATGTTCCTTCTGAGCATTGTCCTTCTGAGACGGAGCCTGATGTGTGTTATGAGCAAAGCCTGTACATCTTCTTTTCTCTTGTTTGATGTCTGTACATTTGCTGGGCGTCCTTGTTCTCCGCTGCCCTGACGCAGTAACAACTGCATCCCTGCCTTCACAAGAGCTGAAGGGCAAAACTGCTGCTGGTGATAGTGTGTGCCTCTATTGGAACCCACTTATTTTACTTTCCAGATCCAGTTCAGTGCTATTGATATTCCTACTTTTCTTCATACCAGCTACTTTTCAAATAACTTACTGGAAAAAAAAAAAGCAAATGTCTTCATAAGGTCTTACCCCAAGAAAGAGAGGGTATTTTGATCTAGACGTTACCAAATAGCATGTCTTCTTTTGTTTACTGCATATGCCATATTGATGTTTATTTGAAATCTTCACTTCTTTTAACTTCTTTAGAGCTAATCGTTTACAAGTTAGTACATCTGGTGGTTGTTGAATGTGGTAGTGATGAACCTCTTTGCTTGAGATGTTCTTAAATTATGTAATTCTAATACATCAGGTCAACTGCTCCAGTGATTCTCCCCGAATCTTTTGATTTTGAAAAGGGAAATTCAAATCCAGCAAATCGTATTAGCAAGGCGTTCAGGAAGTGCACCAGGGAGCAAACCAGGATGATCCAGAATGAATTTGCAAACTGTTCACTGTGAGTCTTGAATGTAAAACTTCCCTCTTTGAAATTAGCAATTTTCTCTGAAAGGTGATGGATTTTCACTTCTGAAGAGAAGAGAATCATGATGAGACAACCACAGGAACCTGAAACAGAGGGGGAGATGCTCCTCATCTCAGCGATCCCTGCAGCAAGGCCATGGGATGTACATCACAACCAAATGCCATATTGATAGTGTTGTTATGGCCACTGCAACTTAGCTTTAACAGGGATTATTTTTAGAATCCAAGCCAATGGCTATTGAAATTGGTAAGCTTTTAAAACTGAATTTGGCTTAGGACCAGTAATATTTAATATGGCTGCTTTAGTGCCCTGATACAGCAAAGTATCTGTGCTCTTTTTCAGCTTTAAGCTGCTCATTGTCCCATTGAACATAACCGAACTGTCTGCATGTTTAAAGATAAATATGTACTGAAGTCCTTTATTAAAGTATGATTGTAATACGTAATTCTTTGTAAAGTAATGGTAAATCTTCTTGTCAGCCAAGCCAGCAACACAGAGAATGGGCTTTATCTTCTCTAAGTGGCAGAGGGACAGGGATGGTCTGTTATCCCTGTTGGCAGTGTTTTTTCAGAGACTGCTTTTACAGCGAGTTGCTGTCAGTCTCTCCCTCTCTGCTCCTCAGTTTCTTTCTTCCTTGAGAAAGTCTTTTTGGCGTAAGTGGTGATCTCGCTTACACAGCTGGAAATCTCCCATCATGGCTAATACAAGCAGTTGCATCACTGATTTTTTTGGTTGGATGGGTTTTTTCCCCCCCCTTCCCCCCTCTGCTGCGATTCCCAGTTCTGACCGTGTGCTGTGCGCCCGTGATGTGGCCCATCTCTGGGTCCCTGAGGCTTGTGGTCACCATCCCCTTTTTCTGCCAGCTTATGCAGAAGGACTGGAGGTGCTGGGGCTGCCTGCCACTGCTTCCTGCAGCCGCTTGCCTGTACCCATCCCACTACCTGCTCTTGCAGAGGATTTTGACATTTTTATCCCTTAACTCTAGTTTGGAAAAAACATGTTTTGATACAGCAAAGTCATCCGCCTTTCTGCCTAGCTTTGTTTTGCCAGTTTTGAGTCAATGCAGCCATGGTCCTTAATATGGTCTCCCATGCCAATAAATCAGTCATCATAAGTAGCAAACATGGACAGGTATTAGCCTGGTAGGCCAAGGGTGGGGTGGTACTTACATGCGATGAAGCTCCAGAGGTACAACCCAACAGGGCCGTGCAGAGTTTCATAAGGGCTGCCAAAAGCATTGAACATGAAGAAACCTGCTCCCACCAGAGCAAAGATGATCAGTACTGTACAGAAGAGAATGACACTAACATGGATACTTGCAGGGATAATTTTGAGCAAATCTGGAAAAACTAAAAACAAAATGAACAAAACATTATTATACACATAGGCAAAGTTGTTTCAGAAGTCAGGCCAGGGATTTCTTGCTGGTTTGTGATAATTGTTTTAAATTGTGCTCTTCCAAATGCAACCAAAGATGAAAATGAAGTTATTAACTAGAAACAGGTTTTCATGGATGTCTGGAGGCAGAAGCATTTTGTGAAACTCGGAAGCGTAGACTGGCCAGGAGAGAAAGACCAGCTCCAGGGAAAGCCTCTCCTCCCCTTCCTGAGGGTATTTCCCTATGTTATTCTCCCTGCCCTGGCCGTACCCCATACGAGATGTGGAACAGCACCTCTGTGGTCCTGGCACCTTGCCCACGGCCATCCCCGCCTGGCATCTGCACTGGGCTCTCTAGGGTGCAACTCCCAGCACCTCCAGCTCTAAATGCTGTGGACCTGAATCCGGATCAGCATCCTCAGTGGCTGCTCCCTCACCCTGGTGTGTGGGCAGGCATAACAAACTCCTCTCCCCCTGTAGGCGCTATTCAGGGCAGTGGGAAGTTTTTGGGGTTATTTCTTCCTCAGAAACCAGATCACACAGATGCATGGTGGAGGGTAAAGTGTCTACCATCTACCAAGGTGGTATTTGGTCCTTCATGTGAACAGCATATTCTTAGAAAAAAATCAGAAGCTGTAATTGAGGAAGCAGGTCCACCTTGCGCTGGTCTGCAGGACGGCATGAAGGGCTACTCACAGTGTCTGTGTTAAGGGTCTGATCTCGCATCCCTCAGCTGGAGGCTTGGCCATCTACTCCTCTTTTGGACTGGGGGGAACAGTAAATCCAGAAACAGACTGTCTGCATTTATGCTCATGAGGTCCCACTGAGGGGCATGAGATTGGAAATGAAATTATACCTGCTTGGCTCATTCACTGAACAGAGGGCAACTGATATTTATTTACTTGCCTAGATCTTTATCAGCTTGTGGGTTTGGCTACAATTAATGTGTGTGTCACTCTTACACCTGACCCTGCCTGGCATGGTCAGCAATTCATACAAAACGTGTTTCTTGGACTGGATTGTTCTCGTCAGTAGAGTCTTGTATCTATCTTATTTTCCAAAATACAGGTGCAGAGGCGGTCAGGTGAGTATGAGAAGTTCCTGACTCTGTGTCAGTATCCATACCATGTGTGTTTTGTGTCTTGTGGTATCTGGGACAGGGTGAGGTAGCTCCCCTTCCCAAGGGATGCTTCTTCTGGCTCCCCTTCCCAGGGTGGGTGCGTGGGCAGGGAGGAGGCTGGGCAGCCCCTGTGGGCACATGGGTCCCTTGGGGGTCCCTCCCCCTTGCACCAGCCTCTTGGTCTGGACCATGTCATGGGCAATGCATGATGGACAATGTTCTTGGGAATATTCAAGTCCTGGCTGTATGGACAAGTGAGGAGGTCACTGGGCAGGTGACATGGAAGGCTCTGTCAGCCTCGGGTGTGTGTTTGGTTGGTTTGGAGTAGAGTGTGTTGTTTATTTAGGTCTGATGTGTCTCAAGTGCACAAATGTTAGGGTTTGACTGCTTTATCTGCTAGGGAAGCAAAGAGCGGCTCCCAGCTGGGATGCTGATTTCATTCTATTTCAGAGCAGTGATTCCATCGCTTTGATTAATCACAAATATACAGTGCTGTTTTGGTAAGTTTATACCCACAGAATTTTGGCTAAAAATATGTGGGTTTTTCCTGAAAACCTTAAGCAATAAATCTTTAAGTTAAAAGGTCCACATTTTATTATGAAGAAGCAGGAAGTCATTAGTGAAGCCGTGGTGCTGACATACTGGCAAGTTAAATGTGTTGTGTGCTGCATGTTGCTGGGAGATATTCAAGGCTCCAGGGATGTATGATATCTGGGGAAGATAACGTGTGACGTTGTTCATAGTATAGAGATTCCCTGTGAAAATCCACCAACAGTCATTGCCAAAGAGATGTGTAGACACCTAAAAGGATCAGAGGTTTCTTACCTCCTATCCTTTGGCATTTTTCTATTTTAAGAAAATAGAAAAAAAAATTGGTGTTTTGATAAAAATCCTTCAAAATAGAGATATATATTTCTGTACATACATTAATCTCAAATTATTTTTAAAATGAAATATGATACCAAAGAGGGAGAAATTAATAAAGCTTACATAAGAGTTATTTGCAAGAAACTATCTGAATGAAATTTTGAAAGAATAAGAATTTTATGTGATCAAAATTTTCTCCCCTGTATTTCCCCAAGTAAAATACTTGTGGAATGTTTTGTGTCTGGAAGCCCAAGGCCAAAAAGCAAAGATGATAAATCAATGAGAGGAAATGGAGAAGTCTTACAATAAAAAAGTAGGATACCAACCTAAAATAAGAGAACAAATAAAATGAGCGTGGAGCTGCTAAGGCTGGTGCTGCCCTGTGCCCTGCCAGCTCCTCCTGCCGGCAGGTGAAATGCTGGTTGTTTGCAGCAGAGCTTTGCTCTGTGGAGTTGACAGTAAGAAGGCTGTTGCTTGGTAGGTGTAAGTACTGTGTGTGTTACGCAGTTAATGCAACGCTTTCACCACATCCTATATAATTTAAGTCTCCAAAAGCTGGAGACTTTAGCATCCGCTGCATTTGCCATTGTATCGCTTGCCCCAGTCACTGCCCCACGAGAGCCCGTGGAGCAGGTCGGGACTGCAACAGTGGGAAAGTGGCGTGTGCGGTTTTGCACTTAGGGTTAATGACTGCTGCCTGACAAAGCTCTGCCGGATGGACTGAAGGCTGTGCTGAGTTCCAGCCATGTAACGGCCAGTGTGACTATGTATGCAAAAACTTAGGAATACTTTATTTTAAATATTTTTATGCAGTTTTTTAGCTACCGTTTCAAATTGTGATCCTGCTTAGCTAGGGCACAAGGGGATAGTCAATCAGACTCAGTATGAGAGAATAATTTGTAATCATTCATGTTTGTTTGGCAACAACAGGTATTTTAGAAGGAATCATCAAATACACTTAACTGCTCCTGATCCACAGGGGCACGATTAAAGTGGGGGTAATAACACCTCGGCACTACCTCACTGCAGCTGTAATGTGCAGAGAGTAAAAAAGCCTCGCATAAATTACTCTGCCTTGTAAAATGTTTACCAGCAAACAGTTCTGCAGCTTGCCATGCAGTAAACACAGAGAAGCAGGTAATGTGGTGTCAATTTATCTCCCTGACTAAATGAAAGGAAAATTAATGAAGCAAATGTTTGCAAACTATTCTTGAAGCTGTGTTAAATAAATATCACCTTTTACGTTGCTGATGGCTGGCTGGGAACAGAGAGGGGTACCCAGTGCCCATGGGGGACCATGCCTGGGGACCCTCACCAGACACAGGGACACAAGGGGGCATGCGGAGCCCTGTGCCCACCGTCTGCAATGCTGCATGAATGCTCACACCTTCCTTGGTAATGGAGAGGCTGCCTGCTCCTGGGGACGGCACTGGGCCAGGGCTCTGCTCCACCGGCCCCCCTTCCCTGGGGCATCCCTGCCAGCCTGGCTCCTGAGCGTAGGGAGCTTGTGGCTGCCAGGTCTAGGCCAGGAGCACAACTACTTGCCGTCTTTGCATGTGCAAGTGCCATCCACAGCAAAACTACCTGTTTGCTAAATTCACCTATTTACCTAAAAGAAGAATTTGCCTGCATAAATGTTACTTCTGCTGGTGGCTACTTATTGTCCGGTTTGGCAGCTGGTGCTTAAATTCCTTATATTATCCTAGTAAAACACAAAGCATGTTTTAGAAATTAGACCTTGTGTTTATTGGACTTTATATTGCATATTTCATATATTTACAAGCATAAGAAGCAGGTGTAATGTTAGTGTGGTATAAGGCACAATTTTACTGTTGTACCATTCAGGCTAGCCAACGAAAAAGCTGAAGAGTCCCTACCTGTGCAGAATTTCTACAATGAATAGCATTAGTTCTTGCAAAGCTACCTGATGTTTTAGAAAAACATGCAAAACTGTATTTAATAATACAATTTTGTATTGTTTATGTTAAGAAAATACATTACTGCATTGTATTGAATCTTTCCCTTGGCACTTGCCTTTATAGCTGTTTATGTCATTAAAATTTTATGTGATGTATCAGGAAAAATTAATTCCAGCAGCTATGTTGTCTTGAAAGAAAAACATTCCTTCATTGTAATGAATGAAATTGTGTGTTAGGTATGCATGCCAGTGACCTTTAGAAAATGAACTGCTGACCCAGAAACTGATGAGAATCAGCAAGATCAAATGAAGCAGAAGGCTTTCCCCAGCCAAACTGGGTTTGCTAGCAGAGCAAATTCATTTTACAATTAAAAGAGATATAGTGGTCAGAGGGGAGCATTTAATGGGAGCAAACATAGAACTAAATAATTTAGCCTGTTTTACGTGCCTTTTCTTCTCAGACATGCTAAAGTGCACTTCAGTGCATTAAACTATGGATGCGTATATTGTATACGGTTATCCTGCTTTTAGGGACGCTCACAGTGAGTTCCCGAGAGCACTGACTTGGATGGGATGGGTCTGCTGCAGCCTCAGAGAATGAGAACCAGCTTCCTTCATTAAGTGGTCTCTGAAGTGAACGCTTCTAGTAGAGGCATATTTTGCTAAGCCACCCAATCACCCATTAAAGTAAGTGTTGTGTTTGCTTTTTAATCTAAATAAAAGATGATCTGAGAATAATTTGTGAGAAGGACAGCAATGCTTCTACCCTCAGCTGTCAGTGAAAGCTCACAGAGGCAAAGGCTGCCCTGTGGAGTGCCATGATCGGTACAACTGGGCTTGTGAAATCATTTAGGCTGTAACTGGGCTACATTTCAGGTATACACAGTGCCAAAAATCACCTCGTAGCGTTACCTTTTCAGAGTGCTGTATAAAGGATGGCAGTGCAGGCAAATAAGACTGACAAGATGTGCTTGTAATATTGTGAGTGAGACCTATTGAAATATTTCACTATTAATGCTTGACTTGTATGGAAGGAGAATAAAAGGTAAAAGAATGCTCTAATAAGCAAGCTTGGGTTCACTTTTAGGTTGGTCAAGGCTCTTGGGTTGTGTTTCTGACCCCAGTGCTTCAGCCCTGCTAGCTCTGCTACTGCAGGTGATGATCTGCTGTGACTGATGCCTGATGGGCTGGGACACTGGAAACAAGGCTGCTCTCTCTAGGGAAGGATGCTGCTCCATCACGGGCATGTCAGCAGCTTCACTTCTGACTCGAGGAGTCTCAGGCATAAGATTAAATCCAGCCCTGATTTCGGATCCTGGGAACAGGCATTAAAGCACATGCTTAAAACCTCATTTTCTCTATCTGAAAAAGAGAACAGTGATATTTACTGATGTCGAGTGAATTACTTCTTCAATGCTTTCTTCTTTATGCAATTCCTGAAAGCCTTGGAGTTCTTTGAATATGTACATTAGGCACTCATATTAAAGAAACTAATTTTTAATATTGTCCGGTGCAGTAGGATTCTGCAGCTCTGTATGAACACTCTGTGTCTCTGTATGAACACTCAGGTTTCATGGGTTTTTTACCATTCCAAAGTGACTAGCTTAGCTGTGACTAATTAAAAACTTCACATTGTATTATTTCTGTTCTTTGGTTACATCTGTGTTTATGTGCTCTGAAATACTTATGAATGCAAGTTTGGTGAACGCTTGGATAGGAAAGCTTGGTTACATGAGACTTCTGTGAGCATGGATAGAAAGTGTATGGCCATAGTGAGAGCAAACTATGTAACCCTGGAGTACATTTGTTTGAAAATGCTCTGCAATACTTGCACAGATCCAAAGCTTACCTGTATGTAGCATTGTGAGATATTTAAAAAGACACGATGACTGATATTATTAAGTCATTACAAACAAGCTGCGCATTTGTATTGTTTTGTACCTGTAATATTACTTTACACTGCCCACAAAATTAAAATTCTTTGAAATTATTGCTCCAATCACACTAGCAGTACATCAAAATATTTCAGCCATAACAAGATGAAATGTACAGATGGGAGCCTGAATGCAAGGCACATCAATGAAATGGTTTAAAAGTATCTAAGCAGTAAATATGTGGAAAGAAAATGATTAGAAAGAGAAGCCAATGGGCTGTCTTGACATCTGGCATGGGGGCTGTCTGTCACAGCTGGGTTTAGTCCTGCCTCGTGCACTGAGCTGATATGGAAAGAGATATCCCGCTTCTTGCCACACAGTGAGGTTGCTGTGGGCGACCTTTCCATAACTTCGCTTGCACCAAATTGGCCACTGATTCATTCTGCTACTGCTCTCCCTGCCTGGGGAGCTCCCGTGAGGGGGCTGGTGTGAGCCCTGGGGCTGCTCAGCCGGACTCCATCCCATGGCTGGGAGGTGCTGGAATTGGGGTGCGCACCCAGCCAGGGCCCACATGAGGCTGCCCATGGGGGATGGCTGGCTCTGGCCTCAGGCTGCAGCTGTATCTTGTCCTCATTTTACAGCAATTTAGCTGTGCCTCATAGCTCTGTTGCTGTAATGAACCTGGACAAATGTCAGTCACAGAGCTGCTGATCGCTAGCAGCTTTGTCAGCTGTGGTTCATAACAATTTCACCTGCAGCAGAAAACTAATTCCTTGGGATTTAGTAGGCCTCTCTGAAAAGTCACCCCAGCCTATAACTGGCAGGGTGGAATATCTGCATGCTGCAACGGCAAAGCAAGCAATTGATAGAAGAACTTCAGCTGTATAAATAGACTATAAATGATGGAATTTAATTAGAGATGGCAAGCCTTAATATTATATTAATTTGGTCTACTACTTTGGAAAAATATAATATGGTAAATAATTTCTGATACCTAATCTGGTAACCTTACCTTGTTTTAAATGACTCATAAGCAATTTACCAGTGCTGTTTTAGCAGAATGCTTCTAAACTGTGTTTTGTAATAACTTCAGGTGGCATATTGTACCTATAACAAATGGCTGTTTGTTATTATCTGTTTAATGTGCTGCTAGATACAAACTGTGTGTTCACTTGATCATTTTATTGATCTTCTTATCCTTGAAGATAAACAGGTTATGAATATTACATGTAAAGCAAAACCATTGCTAACAGTCTTTGATAAAATTCTGCATGTCAGATACCAAGTTCGCCTTGCAGATCAACTGACTGAATGTCAGCTAGCATCCACCATCCGTTCTTTCAATTAATGCAGCAGATTGCTAACTTTTTGGCTGCTTTGTTTCTCAACAGCAGCCAAACATATCTATGCCCCAGCTCTTTCATGAGATTTCTGCTAGTTTAGTTCATTCTTTCATGACGGCACAGAGGACGCGATGTTGACGCACACAGAGGAAGATGATAGAGATTAATTGAAAAACAATTTTTTTAAAGTAATAGTATAAATCTTTTGAAATGTAGATATCTGTGTAACTGAAATATAGATTGTTGAAAATGTTCACGTGGCTTTACTAGTATCAGAAAATAAGTCATTTGAACCGGAAGATCAGAACACTAACAGCAGCATTTGCTTTAGAATATTTCATGCTTGTTAGGATCTGTGTACGAGCAAGGGGACACCGGGGCAGCTATCTCCCAGCTCCCCTAGCCCTCAGCAGTGCGGTGTTAAATAATTTAAATGCCATTGTTACTCACATGAAAACTGGAAAGGTCTCCCCCCGAGCCCACACTGTCTCACACGCTCGCCATGGAAAAGCCCATACTGGATTTTGCCAATAAACTTCTCCAGCTCCTGGCCAGTGGCGTTGACGAGCAGGGCTCCTGTCTTGCAGAGTATTGTCCCCTTAACCCACAGCTGTGTGCCGATGGCTGCCGCGGTCCCCAGCGCACAAGCGAAGCTCAGCACCCCGGCTATGCAAAAGATAATTTTCTTCTGCTGGGCTGGCATGGTGGCGTGCAAAGTCCTCTGAGGGACGCAGCTTTCAGTGAGGCAGCGACAAGGTCTTCATCAGCGCGGCAAACAGCCAAGCTCCCCAGACAAGAGTCCTGGGCACCCAGCCAGCCCTGCTTGCGGCAGGAGCCCTCTCCTTAGGGAGCTTCAGCAGTGAAGGCTATGCAAAAGATAATTTTCTTCTGCTGGGCTGGCATGGTGGCGTGCAAAGTCCTCTGAGGGACGCAGCTTTCAGTGAGGCAGCGACAAGGTCTTCATCAGCGCGGCAAACAGCCAAGCTCCCCAGACAAGAGTCCTGGGCACCCAGCCAGCCCTGCTTGCGGCAGGAGCCCTCTCCTTAGGGAGCTTCAGCTGTGAACCTCTGAGGCACACATTTCCTGAAAGATGCTGTAAAGGTTTCTCTTCCCCATCCCCTTCTGTATAGCTCCAGCTTGCACACTATTGAGTTTAAATAAGCTGGAAAATAGAGCGGTTTGTAGAGTGTTTCAGTGCATCCTCTGTCACTTGATAACAAGGGTTTAAGATGACAGAAGGAGCCTCTCCGTAATTTGAGTGCTCTGCTCTTCCCAGCCCCCTGTCTGACCGGGTGAGCAGGGGATTTCAGAGACAGGCTTGGCTGCTGTGCCTGATTGTCTGCTCTCCAAAAAGGAAGTTTTCAGAAGGTTTTATTTTTCCAAGTTTTCCTCTAAAGCTAGCAGTGCTGAGCTGCTCTGCTCTTTTTTTGGGGTGTGTGTGTTTTTCTTTTTTTCGTTGTTGTTCTTAATGCAATGGCACAGGTAACACACAGTACCCCCGCTAAGCCAGGAGGCCCCCTCTGCAGTATTTGGTTGCATTTGGGCACTGTTTTTCCCTGTCAAGGCATTCCCAGGCAAGGGCAGCGTATCTGATATATATTGTATTGTTTTGGCTGCGGTGTGTAGGATGCTCAGACAAACACTTCAGTTCAGGTTTCAAATATACACAAATACCTCTTTCTCTCACTTCTTTACAGAAGACCCAGTCTACCCCAAGGCTTGGTGGTATGCTGGCTCCCTGTGCTTTGTGCAGGAGAGGCACCGCTGGGCTCCCGCTGCTGCCAGGGACCTGCCTTGTTCTTCATGCAAGCCAAAGTCATGGGCACGAAATAACCCATCCCCTGGAGTGTGGCTAACTCAGGGCCTCAGCTAGGACCAGAAGCATGGCTGTCTGCATTGACCTACTGACTGCCAGTGATTTCAGCAAGCACAGGGTTTGGGTTTTTTTCCTAGCCAGATCAACTTAGAAAGTGGTTTGTTAACTGGATGCACGTCCATTGCAGGAATACTCTTCAGGTGGTTTAAGAGTATCATATTGGTTATGCTTAAAGACTGAGTCTGGTTTAACTACATAGGTTTTAAGACAACCTTGGAATTAAAATGAAGCAAGGCTGTGTATAGACAAATGATTTTTTTTTTAAGCTAATGCTTAAATAAAGCTGTAGTTCGTGCTGTGATCATCATACATAATCAAAAGATGGCACACTGCTGTATCTCTGGGGTCCATTACCACTGAGCTTGCACTGTGCGCAGTGCTGAATGCATACAGGTTTGGGGAAATGCTTATTTTTTAAAGATGGTTTTGAATACTTTACTTGAGCAGAATGCATTTATTGCTCCCTGAAGAGGGACTGTAATATTTTAATATGACTATCACCAGCACAATAGCAATGAAAGGAACAAACTTGAACATATGCATATAAAAGTGACTGTGTCCTAGAAAGAATTTGAGGGGGGAGGGGGGAATTTAATTGCATTATCTGTTTTGGTGACTACTTTTTTCAAGTGTCAGCTTTCTGATAGTCTTTTCATATGGAGCAATAGTTTATGCCACAGAAAATTACGTAGTTTTCTGAATGAGCTAAGATGTTTCAGAATCCCTGAGAAAAGCAGGGGTGGTGATACAGGAGCAGCCAGCACTGAGGGGGGCTTTGCTCCTCAGCATTCGGCTGTACCTTGCAATAGGCTAGGCAGTGGCTGGTGGCATGAAGATAGCGGAGGTGAGATTGGGCTGGAGATAACACTGTGCATAGACAAACTAGAAATTAGAGTGAAGAATTGTCCTGGAGTTTGCCCTGGAGTAACTTTTTCTTGGAACATTCATTACCAGCTGCAGATCTTGATTGCATTTGTTTGAAACCAATTCAGTTAATATGTGCCTTGGCAGACAGTACAAGTCCCTTTCTAACTCCAGCTGTGAATTCTGCAGTGAACACTAAGGAGGTATCTGACAGGGTCTGTTTGTTTGTGTTTGCGCAGTAACACAATGTTGCTTTCTGGGTGGTTAAAATAATATTTCCTGGTATCTGGGGTACTGTATTTATCAAGCAAGTATGGGGGGGGGGAAGCTCATGCTCTCTGATGTTAAAGACTAGCAGTTTTAGAAAAGAAGGTCTCCTTCAATGAACTTTCGACAGGTTTTTATAACATCTCTCTTCTAAAGCATGTGAAGCAAATAATGGTTACTTACTGAATGGATAATTATTGGGTTATTTACTAATGGATAATTAACTGAAAAAGTGAAGCTGAGGTATCTGATGATCACAGAAAATATTTTATTCCAAACGCTGTGTGCTCCACCACAACGAATACTGCTTTGAACGTATGACAAGAGCAAAGAAGATGCACCAAATCACAAGATAAAAAGGGGAAACATATTTGTTTCTTCCCTCAGGAGCATTAGATTCCCCACTTTCTGATAATATCACACTAGAAGCAAGACTTAGGTGAGTCACTGTTCAAGGACAAGCTTAAACCAAATAGAAGCAGTCAAGGAATATTGTAAAATTGCTGCTGTGACTGGGATGATACTTTATTTCTGGCCTGAGTGTTGGGATACTCCTTTCGTGAGCAGTGCATCATGCAGCATCATGTGCCCTTTCACAGTCTGTGTCGCAGTCTCAGGTCTTGCCTGATAGTCCCATCCCATTCACTGCAGAAGAGCCTTCCTCTTCAGCTTACTCGTCTTGAGCAAGTCCTTTCTCCCATCCCATGTGTCCAAGATGTTACTAAATCTCTTACTGTTTTTTCCCCCGCAATATTGGAAATGACTGCCCTTCTCTGCACTGGCTCAGACAGGCTCTGGAGGCCCTGGTCTTCCCCATCACTGCCGTAGCCCTTCTCCCGCATGCTGGCTGCTTGGGGCTATGCCGTTGCTGAGGAGGCACGCCGCTCCTCCCTGCCTTCTACCCTGCATCAGGTTTCAGCTCCTTCGTCTGGTGTCCCTGCAGAGCAATGCTGCACCCTGGGACCTCTCCACGAATCCTGGCTGGTTGCTGCTCCCTCTTTGTCCTGCTCTTTGCTCCCAGCTTTTCTGCAAGTGGATTGCTGAGGGAATGTTTTTGTTCCTGTCCCCCTAAATACCCATTTCTCCCTTCAGGCCTGCATACACTGAAAAAGATAAAGGAAAGACTGTTGTTGTTGTTGTTTAGCTTATTTAAAAACAAAGTTAGGGCGAGGCTATATTATCAGACAATCTTGACTGTTTGCATACTGAGATATACAGGGGTCTTGTCTCCTGCGCTGTACTTGTACGGGTGGCGTAATGACAGTCTCAGGAGGCTTTTCCACCTGTGCCGTTACCTTGTAGAGGGCTCAGTACTCTTCCTCCCTGTTTAACATGGTGTTAGCTGCTCCTGTGTAGCTGTTCCTGAAAAGGGCTGATTTTAAATTGTCATTTATGCACTTTCTCCTCAAATTTTCTCTCAACCACTAAGGTTTTTAAAAACCCCTAAATTTAAAGAAATAGACTATAATACTTCTGAACCCAAGTCACTGGAGTGTTGTACGATGATTAACTAATTAATTTTACTTTTACTTGTAAGTATAACATGATGTTGTGTGAGTACTAGTGGTGATGTATAAAATGCTGTCATCCATGCGACTTAGGTCACAACTGCAGATGCTCGGCTCCTCCTTCAGTCGGTTCCCAGAGTGAGTAGCAGTACATACCATTCCAGTTCACTGACTCTGCATTTAGCAACCAATGCAGGTCAACAGTGCGTGAGGTGAACAACCACTGTGAAAAATGCACTGAACTAGATATTTTTGATGAGAGCAAATGCCCATTAAGTGAGGAGTGGAAAAGAACCACCTTTTTTCTTCCACAGATGCCTAAACCCCAGTTTATGATACTTAAGGGTAAATATGCGATGTGAAGTATAGATAGATGAAGAACAATGGCTTGTGTACGTGAACCTGGAAAGTAGTAATAGCACACTACTACTTAAAGAGACTGAAATGTCCTGCACTAATGTGATCTTTGGCAATCATTGCAGTCAAATGGACACTTTATTTTTAATTTTATCAATTAAATTTATCCTATGGTAAGGACAGAGTAGAAAAAGATTTTAGGACCTCCAAAACTGCCACCAAGTTTTGTAAAAGATTTGGATTTTATAACTCTTATGGATGAAAACTTCTGTATATCCACAGTCATGTAATGACTTGTGGCATATGTGGGACTGATGCTGATTACGTTCTGTTCTTTCCCACCATGTCACAACTGCTGTAGAGTTGATATCAGTTTACCAGAAAGGCCACCCTTGGTTGTAGAAATGTTCAGGATGAAAACACCAGGAGTGATGAGGACCCATAGTGATGTGCATTTTAGCAGAAACCCCTGTGGGAAGTTTGCATGTTGGCTGCAGTCATCTGCAGTCCAGACAAGTGGTGCCATTTGTCCCTCACTACCATGAGAACTGAATAGACCTGCAAATGTGAAAAATGAGATGTCCTTCAAGAAAGCATATAACCAATAATTAACGCAATATTTTCAGAAGTTACCCTCTATTTTTAACTAGCATCAGTAAAGTCACAGCAAATGACAAGAATTTAGTCATGATGGTAAAAAAAAACATACTATGAACTGGTATTTGCCATTCTTCTTTATTCAGAGCTTATTCTTCAAATTCCCATGCTAAAGTGGTGGCTTAAGGCACTACTCACTTGACTAAAGGTGACAAGAAATACTCGTTACCCTCT